TTTTTTATGTATTTTTTTACAAAATAAAAATAAAAATAATTTTAAATAAGATAGAAAAATTGAAATTAAAAATAAGATATGAATTTATTAAAATTTATAAGTATAAAATATATTTAATATGAATATGTTTTTAATAAATAAAAAAAAATTCAAGTCATGCGGTTCAACTAGTGACCCACCAGTTCAACCTTTGACCCACTGACCCAATACTTTAACTGGTTCGATGATCGGTCCGATTTTTAAAACTATGATTTTATATTTTAATTATAAAATTTAAAAAATAAAATTCATAAATTTATACAAACCAAATGAGTTCTATTGGTGCAATGTGAATCTTGTGTTATTTTTCTCTTATGATCTATGTATGAGATGGAATGATGTGATTTTTTTGTGTTATTCAATGTTATTTTTTAACGAATATAATTGATGAGCATGTGATGCAAGAAAAATTGATATGGTGGAATGACATGATTATGTGATATGAGAATGCATAGAGTCTGATTTACATACATTATTTGCATAAATATTTTTAAGAATATGATATGGACTACACTACTAAGGAAGACTCTATTGTGTAAAAGTTTGGGAATTAGTCCTTGGAGATAGCTCGATTTATAAGTTTCAATCTCGCCTATTGTGTGCATAAAATGTATCTTGTGCGACTTAGTTATCTCGACCAGACTCTAGTAGTATGTCCTTCTAGTGAGAGTGCGCAGAGGGTATGACCTGACATGTACTCCTAGACTACTCTATGTGTGTTGCTAGCGACAATGCATTATGTGATATTTTACTAGTGCCACATGCATGATAATATGTAGTTCGTGTCCATTACATGTGCATTTTAATATTATATGTTAGTTGATTTATGTCATGGATAAGTGAGGTGTGATATACTGTTGTTAATCTATGTATGCTATGTATATATACATATCTTATTTATGTTTGGCTATCCGGTGTGTATTCCTACACTGTGAGTCAGAGTGAGATGTTTCTCACTCCATTTTCTTTTGTGTTATTTTCCTTTGGTTGTTATCGTCAGCATGAGGCTGAAGATATTGGTGATGAAGCTTAGGTTTCAGTGTTAGGTTTTGCTTTGATAGGACATGTGACATCAGGGCGTAAATAATATTAGATTAGGATGTTATTTCTATTAAATTATTTTGAAAATATTAGCTTTATTTCTCTTGTAATTTTCGCGGATTATGTTATTTGTTTGAGTTATGGATATGATACTCTCTATGTGAACACGTTTGGTATTTTAATAATGAAAGATTAAGTTACTTAGATTTTATTAATTATGTGCTTATGGTATGCGGGTAAAGGGTGTCACATATTTATTTTTGGTTCGAGAAAAAAAATTCAATCCAAATCAAATTGAATATTTTTTTCTTTATATATTTAACTATTATTTTATTATTATTTTGTATTCTATATTGATAAATAATGAGAATTGATTGTTGAGTATTTAAAAATTTAGGGTTTAAGGTTTAGGGTTTAAAAATTTACTAATATACTTGTTTATTTTAAATTAGTGATTTTATCAAATTATTAGATATTGATAGATCATTTCAATTCATAATTTTGTATATTATTATTATTATTATTATTATTATTATTAATTAATAATATTAATAATTATTTTTGCTCATAAAAATATTATAGCTTTTTTGTCCCATAAAAATATTATAATTATGTTTGAATCAAAAACATTTCCAATCCAAATTGAAATATATTTGGATTAGATTATATTTCACTTTTTAACTAAGTCGATTGGATGATCTATTAACAAAATCAAAAAAATTGAATTAAATGATTTTTTTCCTTAAATTTGATCCAACTCAATCTGCAAACATCTTTACGACTTACACTAAAAGAATAGTTTATATAATTAATTTGATAAATAAAAGATAAATTAGACATAAAAAAATGTGTGTGCGCACATGTATACATGGAGATGTGTATGTACGTGTGTTAAATCTTAAATCCTACACCAAGATAAAAAAAAATTGATATATATATATATATATATATATATATATATATATATATGTGTGTGTGAAACGATTAAAAAAAATAAACCTTAAAAATTATTTGCCCATAATGAAAATTTGTTAGTTAATTCGTGTGTATGAGATAACACTAGACGTTAAAAAAAAAAAAAAAAAGTTGATATGTACGTGTGAAAGGATTAAAAAAATAAAAAAATCTAAAAAATTGTTTATCTATAATGAAAACTTAGTTAATCAGTTATCTTGAATGAGTAATATTTTCCTTTTTCTTTTTAAATAACGGTACCTTTATAATTGATACAAAATATGATAGAATGATATATATATGTATATAAATATTAATTAAGTATAAAATTTTTGTTGACCCTCAAGCAAAATTTATTGTGGGTCCCAACTTACCAACAATAATATCCCGGAAGAATTGGAGGGATTGTGTTAATTGAGAAGCAGACAGAGCATTCCACTTATGAGAGAGGAAGGGAATTGCATTGTCTTGCAGGTAAAAACCGATCACAGTGAATTTTATGAAATTGCCTTCACTTTGGAGGCCTCTGATGCCGGCGCCGCCGAGGAAGAAGGTGGCGGAGGAGGAGGGAGCCTTCACCACGGCAGGGAATGTCACGTCCTCCACCTCTAAACCTGTTACAGATCCAAGTGTCATCGCCATTCGAATTGTTATTCTTATCATTACTTCAATTCAGTTCATTCCAAACTTAAAGAGTTATGCTTGTGCTGTGTTTGGCGGGGTAGGTACACAAAATTACTTATCTATTCTTATTTAATACTCATTTATGAATGAAATTATTACATTTAAATTATAATTAATTTTCTGTAACTCCATTCTATTTTGACCATTGATTCATGTAGTTAGCAGGATTTCATTTTATTTTTTAGATTTATTTTTATCCTTTATCTTTTAAATGTTTATTTTACTTATTTATTTTCTAAATTAAAATCTATTTGATTTTTTGAAATAGTGGTTATTTTTTATTTTGAAATACCATTTTTTTATAAGCAAAATAGAATTAACAAGAGTACAAAGGGTACTCTAACCTATACACACATAGTATTTTATAAAAATAAATTAAAAAAATTAATCCAATCCACGTCAACCCAAAAGCTCACAAAAAGAGCGACTTAATTAACCTATGTCTAACAAGTTTCTCATATCCCAGAAAGCTAATAGTCAATGTGCAATATTAAGAAAGACAGACACTATGAGAATTAGACCAATAAAATAAATTATAATTGAAAGAAGGGAATCTGACCCTTAACCATCTCCACGAGCGTAATTGCATCAGATTTAGCATTTTAGAAACAATAATTATTTTAGAGCTGAATATGAGATCATTTCTTGTAAGCCAGATAGTCCAAATAATAGATAACCAGATAAAATGATCCTTTGCAGAACAATAACGAAGTCCATAAAAATGTTTCAAGTTTTGCACACAACAATTATACATAACAGAATTTAATCCTTACCAATTGAAGCACGCCATTCAGAGCTGAAAAGAAACCTCATACTAAAAAAACAAGTGAGAAGTAGTTTCTCCCTTATTCCTACACAAACCACATTCCAACTGTGATGCTTGCAGAACACCTCTTCTAAACAAATTATCTTTAGTTAGGATTTTATTCAAAATAACCTTCCAAGCAAAAACTGAAACTTTTGTTAGAGCAATGCTAGTTCATATCTACCGAAATATGACATTAGATGCAAAAATTTAAATTTTATCTAATATTATATTCATCCATATAAAAATTATTGAATCAAATTAAAGTTTAAATCAAAAGATGTTATAAATATGATGAAAGTTACATATAAATAAGTTTAAAAAGTAATTAAAAAGTAATTCTAAAAATTTAATTTTATATTATTTTTTAATTACTTGTGAGATATATTTTTACATAATTTTTACTATGTTTATTAATGGTTAATTCAATTTCATATTTTTCATGTAAATCTAATGAGACAAATTTTAAGTTTTGAATCATTAGCAAAAGATTCAAAATTATCTCTCAAAATTAAAAATAATCATTATTAAAAAAAAACCAAATAAATTTAAATTTAAAACTTTTATAATCAGATTAATTAGTTTGAAAAAACAAATTATATACTCAAGTGTGAGTTTTTAAATTTAAGAAATACTAGTATTTTATATTGTGTAATACGTACGTACGTTAAATATATATTATGTATAATTAAATTTTATAATAAATTTTATATATAAATAAATATTATATTTAAATATATATCTAGTTACAGCCGACTTTTTTTATACGTAACTGGTTTTGAAAATTAAAACTGGTTCTATCAAATAAAAATTGATTCTGATTTTATTATAATATCTAGTTAGTAGTTACCATATATGATTAATTTTTATAACTATTTTTAAATAATTTATAAAACCGATTAATTGTTATTATAAGTAACTTTTTTTTTATAATAAATAATTATGATCACCCCTGTTTACACCCACTAGTTATCCCATTCTTTTAAAAAAAAAAGTTAAATATATATATTTTGTCAAAATATAAATTATCATATATAATAAAATGTATAATAAATTTTTATAGATTTTCAATAAAATGTTCTTACAGTATAAAATTAAACTTAAAAAATATTATTCACATTTTCTAAATGTTTTTAATTACACGTGCCAGAGAAAGTCGTGTATGTTAGGTGTATGTTAGGCGTCATATAAGGAAATACATTATAACTTAAAGTCCAGGATAATTATTAGCCTTGATGTAGTAGGTGGAAGTTGGATTAGAATATAAAAAAATTTATATTTAAATATTAATATTATTATTGTAATTATGATGAATAAAAAATTCTTATATCTGACATTTATCTATAGTATTAATAGTTTATATGATTATTTTTATTTCATAAATAGTTAAAAATAAATGAAAAAAATGTATACAATTATGAATGTAATTAATATTAACCATTTATATTTTATAAGATAAAAGTAATTATTATTATTAAATATTTTAGTGACTTCATGATGTCATATTAATTACTTTGTAAAGTAAGATCTGTGACACCCTCTACCCCAAAATCATTAATAAACATAA